GGGGGGGGGGGCGCTCTCTTCTCTGGTGTTTTTCCACTCCTCTTCCCGCCAAAACGAGGGTCCTTCTGGTACTTTTCCATCAAAACAAGGGTCTGCCCGATACAAGGGTCTGTCTGGTACTTTTCCACTAGTTGCAGTAACATCATCATCAAAACACCAACATAGCCATTACATAGTCTTGAGATTACAAAGCCTCGGACCCATTTAAAGATAGAACCACAGTAACTTTTCTCTTTATATACAACGAAATATTTTACAACACATATTTGTATTAAAGGTCAATATATGTCATAAACACGAATCATCATCACATTTATTACAATCCCTCGCCTTTTATTAAATTGATTCGTGTTTGATTTTTTTTTAGCTATTATGGGGCTGACACATGTAACTAGGAGAAAAAACAGACTACTACAGTGAGGTCCGATATGGCACATTTTTCTGTTTACCCCTGGACCCACTGGGTTGCTGCCAACAGTCAGGATTTTTTTTTTATCTTCTCAAAAGCAAAAATGGAGGCAAATCCAGTCTTGCCCTCACTCGAATTTATTTTTAGTCCTTTTTCCCCCTTTTCTGTTTCTTTTATCCAACTTTTGGTTTAACTATATATAACAGCTTATACTCCTATTCATAAAAGATATCATAGCTTATAAGATAGTCAACATATATACACAAGACTTCAGAAAATTAGAGTACCTTAGATCTCATTGCTACCGATATAGAGTCCTTTGAATTACTCAGTCTGTTTCAATGAGTCCAATCTCCTGTTAATTTCGCTGCATTCGAAGCTTTAAGTTTCCAGGTGTTGATTCAATCTTCTAATTAGGTTTTGTAACAGGTTCTTTTACTCTAGAAATGTGAGTCCACCCTCTCTCAGCAGTTCTTACAGCAGTTTCTATTGTTAATAGTACCAGGAACGGTCCTTCCTATCGAGAAGAGACTCTCCTTTTTCCAAGCTTTAATCATTACTTAATATAATCTTAAGATTTAACAGCAATTTAAGATTTATTAATGGTGTGAGATAATCAACGGTTGAATTTTAGCAGCTCTTAATGATTAATTTAAAAATTAATGGAGTGATTTGATAAAATAGAATTAAAATAGCAACTTGATTATAGATTTGAGAATGACAAGCTTACAGGATTTACAAGGCATTCTGAATCAAAGTACATATATATATATATATGTACATATAAAACACAAGATATACACACAATGCAGAAATATTTGGATATCCAGTGAAATACAAACGTCCACGCTTTAAAAGTAGATGTGTGTAAACACAGATAGGTAAAGAGGTGGATGGAAGAGGGTAGCTTATAGTTAAGTTTTCCCTCTTCCCAAGTTCCCAGCGAATACAATGCATAGATACTTCTCAACAAGCGGTAATTGAGAGTCGAGAAGAAATTTCACTTCACTCTGGCCTTCCACCGGCTTTGTAGGCAGGTTTTGGGCGGCGTTTTAGGGTTTTTTCACTTCATATCCCCTTGGAATATTCCTTATAGTTCATTTTTCAGCGCTTATATCAACTAAAAATTCAAATTCTTCCTTCTCCCTGGGGGCTTATTCTTAATTTTATTAAGGGCTCCTCTGTTGTCTGTGTCCCCAGGAAGTAGAGCCTCTGACACCCCTATTCCTCCTTAAACATCCTTTCATCCTGCTCCCGATTTCTACTATTCCTCTTTAAGTGTCCTTTCTTTCCACAATCATAACATACTGGTCCATTTTCTTTTACTACCCTCCTCCTTTTTTCACTGCCCGAAGCTCCGAGAGATACGTTAGGACGGGATTACGGGAGCTTCCCCTCCTCCCTTTGTGTCTCTCAACTGCTCCATCAAATGCCTTTGCTTTCGCTTTCTGTTCGCTTTCTGTTTCTCCTCGTCCCTTCTAACGTGTACTTTCTTCGCTCCTCTTAACAATTCTTGCAAACCCCCGTCTTGCCAATCATCTAATTTTTGTAATTTCTTCCTCGTATCTTCCCCATGATTTGGCTACGAATTGAGTTTTTAGTAAAGCCTCCCCCACCGGGAATGCGGGATCTACTCCCGAATACATTTGCAAATTTTTTCGTAACCTTTCTAGCCAATCCGTTGGGATTCATCTCTCCCCTCATGTTCACTAAAGGCTTTATTAATGTTTTTGCCCTCACGGAACCGCTTCTCTAATTCCAGCCACTATTTCATTTCTAAGGTTCATCATATTCTGTCTGCCCTGCTCCTGGTGGTGATCCCAATTAGGGCGGACATTTGGCCATTGCTCATCCGCCGGCAGTCCCGCTTGATTCTGCTCTTCCCACAAGCGCATTTCTGGTTGCCTAATCATTTGCTTTTCCTCGGTCGTAAAAAGGATTCCTAAAATTGACTGCATCTCATCCCAGGTATAGGCGTTAGGTCCCAGGAATTGATCCGATCTTTCAGATACTCCTAAGGGGTCGTCTAAAAGTTACCCCATTTCTTTTTAAAAAATGTTCTAACATCCCTGGTGTTAAGGGGGACGCTTATAAATCCTATTCCCCCTGCGCCTCCTTCCCGTAGGCACTTCCCGTAATGGGTACAGATTGCCTCCCCAAGCCTCTGCCCCATTTTCTTCTAGTTGTTTTTGCTTCTCCCGGTTACGGGTTCGGCTAGCTAGGAAAGGGGAAGGAGCGCTAGGTTTCAGGTCCTCGTCCTCTGAGCTTTACCCATACGGAGGAGGAAAATCTTCTAAAGGTTCTCAATCATCGTCTTTTGGAATTTTCTTATCCAGAGTCTTACTTTTTAAGAGTAAAAATGTTTATATAGTTCGGGAACCTCTCCACATAAGAGCATAATGGCTTTCTTCCTGGCTAAAAGGTTTTTTGTTACATCTAAATTCAATGCTTGGCATGTCCAAACATCATTAGGTCCGAATTTCGGCCGGAATCAATGATCGGATCGCACAGGCTCCTTGGTCCACTCAACCATACAGTATTGATTCATTTTTTTCTTTTGTTTCAGCCCAATCCGGTCAATTCCTTAACATGCATCCCAAGGGACTGTCCTGGGGAATATCTAGTAATATGCTCCCTTTACTAACCTTGCAACCTCTCCGTGGGTTGCCCCAGACACGGCACTCACTCCCTTCCTGGCCCATGGTCTTGGGATAAAAAAATGATCCCGTATCCTTCCTAAATCCTGGGATATAACCTATCCCTAATCCCTTGCCAGAGTCCGTTTCAAACTTTTCTTTTCGCTTTGCCCCTTCACCGGCCAGGCCCACCGCGGTTAGAAGGGCTCCGCACTCGCTTCGTGACACTGTCACGGCTCACACCAGTCACTCAGGCAGAATCCTCCCCCACCAAGCAGTACTCACAGTCCGAGGTCTTCGCTTCGATCTTCGTGCGCACAAAATAGTTACGGTGAAATTTCCGGGAGCCCTTTCTGAAATCTGAGGTGTTTGGTGTTTTTTTTTTTCCTTTTTCCGCTGGTTCGGGATACTGCCGGTGCTAGAGAGCACCGGAGTCCGGAGACCACCTTAAAGGTGGGGCACTCTCCCCTGGAAACTGATGTTTCACAGATCCTGCGGTATCACGCTGGGGTCACCAAATTGTTACAAAAATTTAAGCCAAAATACAGTTTTATAATCGTAATGAAATAAGAAAAACCGCGCAGGGTATGGCGAGCGCTCCCCGCTCCGCAACCAACGCACCCAGTAAAAACAAACCCACCCCCTTTATAGTCTTTTCCTAATACATATGCATAAGATGGGTGTGTTTAGTCCGCGCAAGCGTAGTGGAGTTTTCTCGAATCTTCTTGGCTTCTCTGGTGAGGGGGGGGGCGCTGCTCTCTGGTGGTTTTCCACGCCTCTTCCCGCCAAAACGAGGGTCCTCCTGGTACTTTTCCATCAAAACAAGGGTCTGCCTGGTACTCTTCCACTAGGTGCAGTAAGAGCATCATCACAACACCAACATAGCCATTACGTAGTCTGAGATTACAAAGCCTCGGACCCAACTTTTAACATATATACAACGAAATATTTTACAACACGTACATTTGTATTAAAGGTCAATATATGTCATAAGCACGAATGATCATTATATTTATTACATTTCCCCTCGGCCTGGCCCCCTGCCAGCAGGGAGGCAGCCCTTTCTTTAATGAAAAACGCGGGTTTGCGCAAGGAAGCGCCCTAAAGCTGGCACGGCTGTGACCCCCTGCCCGCAGAGTGCAGCTCCTGCCCCGGGGTCCCCCAGACAGAGCGAGGCCCGGCCACTGCCTCCCCCTGAACGGAGTGGCCTCAGCGCTACCTGAAGCAGCCAGCCTGGCTCGGGACGACTGGCCCCAACACAGCCCTATGCGCCCGCACCCCCACCTCAGCCCATGACTGCCCACCCGGGCGGCACCTCCCCTCCCTCAGGGGCGGCAGCGCTGGCAGCACCTAGAAGCAACACCCTCCCGGTGCCCTGGCAGAGGAGGGGCCGCCATTCCCGCCTAAAAGCAACCCCTGACCCCCGTCGGCCGAGGGCAGCGCTCTTAAAGCTTGCAGGCTCCTGGCTGTTCCTGCCCACCATGACCATGTGCGCCTTCACCACACAGAGGGGTGGCGATGGGTGCACGCTGATGCTGGTTTTGAAGCACGAACGAAGCGGCAGCATGGACGCTGCAGTGTTGATGATACCCTCTCTGCTGGCCTCGATGTACCCCTTGAACATGCTCATCCAATTCCCCTCGTGCAACACGTCAGCGCTCATCTTTTGGTTTCATGGCGTGTTTGCAATTGCCCTGTCTTAACAGGAGAATGAAAACAGATGAAGCCATTAGCGAGGTACAAGTGCCAGTGCTACACAGGCAACATGTTAAGGATCAGTTGAGTCCAGGACTTTGCCTAGGGAGGTAACTGAAGGAGCACATGGGCTTAGTGCCCGGCCAGGGCTAACCGGCACACACACATGTAAAATCAGAGCTAAAACCAGTGTAAAGCAAATAACAATTTACCAGAAGACAGATGCTAAGGGCTCCAAAGCAAGAGTTGGCTTCTAGACAGAGTAGGCTTTTTGACAAAAGTAGTATCTTTTGTTAGGAGAAAAACCCCTAGCAGATACAGCTGTGCAAGGTCTTTTACACTGGAAAACCTTTGTTGTTGTCTTCAATTATATTTGTGCTAAGAAAAAATACTATCACTACCTGCAAAGTTGTCTCTTTTCATAGGCCACAGGGCTATAACAAAACCACCACTAGAGACTCTAGGGACATACAGATAAGAGACCTGCAGACCATTTAATATGCGCAACATGCTGTGAAGACACTGACAACTTGACAAAGTAATTCTGCATGGATGCCGTTACTGGCTGTGAATTCACACATCACGTTCCCCTTCCTCCCAAACCTGAGACAGGCAGATGCATTTTATATTTAGCATCAGAGAAGCACAGAATGGGAAGAAGCCCCTTGCCTTCCACTAAGGATCACAGACCAGTCTCTACACAGCCAAAGTACATCTAACCCTTTTCATAGGATGACTAAAAATAGTGAAAAAATGCTGTTCTACACTCTATCAGTGTAGTTACAATAATGTCAAAATACCGATCTGAAAGCCAGCTATTTAAAACACGAAGTGCTTAAGCATTGCCTAAGACCTACGCATTTAGGCTTTAACAGCACTCATGTGTATGACAACAAACCATTTCCCCTGTGGCAGATTCTTTGGATTAGAGTCAAAAACAGTTAATGTGTTCAGCTGAATGACAGCTATATGCCCACAAATAAATCATACAGATGAACTGATAACTTATCTGTCCCATGATATTATGTTCAAAGTTCATGACTGCTCTCAGGAAAACAAACCATCAACAAGCACATGTTAAACTGAGCTCTTTATTTAATGACCACTGTTAATGGCAAATATACTAGTATTCGGTCTCTTCCTTCATCTTTACAAAAATTTTCTTTTTTAATAGAAGTATAAAGGGATTTTTCAACATAATTGGAGATTGCAATTTTGATACTACAAATTATTTTTTTTTAGGGTAAAAATAATTCCAGTTAAGTGCAAATTTCACTTCAGACATGAGACCAGTGTCCAGTTTTCACTACTCGCAACAACATGAGGTATAATATACCTGTTTTCTCATGTATAGATATGGATAAAAACTCTGAAAAATGTACTACATGAATACCAAGAAGTCAGACGTATGCCTTCTAGTAAGGAAAGTGAGCTTCTTCTACTTGGATGTCATCAAAGTGTGAAAAGTGATCAGAACTCCTAAGCAGTATCTAATGCCATTGATATTTTTATGATCCCACCTGTTTTACAGCTACAAAGAAATATCATTAAATGAATGTAATAGCTTTTTCATATAATTTAAGTGGAAATGTTAAATAAATTTAAGCACAGAATAAATTCTTTAAAAATTGACTTTGAAAAAAACAGTTCATGATCAAAGGACAGTTTAGTAAGACGGAATTTGGCAGAGCAAATATTTAAAACTGACAAGTATTTTTAACTCAAAATGTCAATAAAAGCACAATATATTACTTCCTAAATGTAAAAAGTTATCAGTATAAAAAGAAACATAAAATATAAGCTTTTGTAACTATTAAAACCTCTGTCTATAAGAATATTTTGCTGTGAGAAATCTCATCTCTGAAATACATACATTTCTGGAACTGCATTCCTAATGGGTATAGCCATGGAGATAAATATGAAAGTAGAATAAACTTCTGCTATTAAGCTTGTAATAATCTCTCTGAAGACTGAAATATTTTTTTTCTTTTTTTTTTAACCAATGTTATTTACATTTGTTTCTTGTAATTCTGTTGTGAAATCCCAATTTACTTATGAGATTAAGGATATGTAGAAGTGATTGCTTATTAGGACCAGAAGAGGGAGCTCAAATTAATATTTTTATTTATTAAGTTAAAGCAATATCTAACAGTGTACAGTTTAAAGGTAAAGGGACTTTTAAAACATTCCTTAGACACTTTGATATCGTATGCATTTAAAGTAACATTAACCTCTCTGGCATCTGTAGCAACAGCAGTATAGGTCAGTATTTAGGTAAATGGCCTTTTTTAATCTTTGAATTTGGGCAATTGAGCCTTCCATTCTCTTCTCACTCGGATTCCAGCTGTCTCCATCAGTCACTGTACAACCTGCATACACTCCTAAGAACTGTCCTTCCCTCCCACAGCTGACCACTGAACAAAAGCAAGACATCTCCACCAGATGTCTTCAACCTCCCATCACTTCTGTTTCCTCTGCCCATCAGATTCTAAGAGGCATGAGGCACTCCCTCAGATAGGCACATGTAAGCTCCTCCCAACTCTTGCTGTAAAGTCTCACTTCACACACACCACCTTAAAAGTCTTCAGTCCAAGAGCCATCTTCAAGTATTTTTAAGGACAAACTGACTTACACCTCTTTGTTTTCAAAGGGGACTAACAAGGTTAGCTCAGGCTCTGATTTTGCCTCCTGAACTGTGCAGCCTCTGTACCAAATTCTTCCTGTGCTGCTTTGCAGATTTAAACCACCACTCAAAGTTACTAAATTTTAAGTTTTCCTGCCCGCTACCTTTACTACAACATATGCTGCCACAACTGTGAATATGGACAAAGAAAACAAAAGCAAACAAAAGACCCTTCTTGAGTGATTCGGTCTGTGTTGGATTATACATGGTGAAAGAGAAACTGTTGGATGAGTAAGTTTGTATCAGACACCATATAATCATTTGTTTACATGCAATAAATAGCATGTCTATCCATTTCCACTTGATGTTTTCAGTTTAGTGTAACAGAATCATTGTTAGGGGCAGTATCAGACAAACAGAATCTGGGGAGAATGCTACCACTAGAGAAATGTGGGATACAGTATATAAGCAGGATCCCTTCAAGTAGCTAGTAAGTCTGCGTGGAAATGGGTTTACAAGTGTACAAAACTTCACATACATTGGCAAGAACAGAGCCTAAAGAAGTGTGAGTGAATAATGGTATACTTGAATTTTATGCAAAGGTGATGAAACCAACAGAAAGGAAAAAAAAGATTCAAAGACAAGATTAAAATGGCAATATTAACAAAATAAATCCCACCAAGTAAAAATTCATAAACAAGATGAGTTCTAAGGACTCTACAGATAAAGAAAGTACGTCATAAAAGTCTAAGAATAGGATATGTATTTTCTTTGCCCTACTACAATGTAATACTTAAATGCATGGTTATTCTCTCAGATCTTAAGTAACAATTCTGTAAATCTCTAAATGTTATTTTCCATTCTCAAAGGAATGTCTATGTATCAATTCTGGAGATTAGAAACACATTGATTAAAGTACTAATTTTATTACAACAAGATAATTAAAAATTAATTTCAGCAATAGACTGAAACAGCAGAATAAAGAAATGAAAAACAAGCAGGCAGCTAGGCGCAGCAAAAAATACTCTTCCATACAACGATTAACACTGTGCCATATAACAAGTACTTCTTTATTAATCTCACAGCTTCTTTGATGGCACTGGAGTTTTCACTTTCTATTAGCAGGCTTCTCCTTTTTCAGCTGTAACAAAGACAGACACCAACAGTGGTTTAAGCATTAATTTGCAAGTTGGCTAGCAATGCAACACTAAACCTCTACATCCAGTCATAAATTTACCAGTGATATATGCAACGGAGAGAGCTACAGATCATTATTAGCCCAACCCAGCATTGCTTACTTTTGCATCATAGGACAAAGGAGCACTTAATATCTCTGCAGCTCCTCCCCTACTCAAACTAGGGCTGCGTTATCTCTGATGATGGCAATCTAGGTATTTATGTATCTCTCAAGGCCAAAGTCCCTCACAAATGTTCACATCAATGGAAGGTAAAAAAGTTTTATTACAGACGTGTAACAGACACATTTAGATGAACCAGCACACACAAAATCACACAGGAAGTTTGTAGCTGAGGTAGATGCTATACCTCCATCTGTATCTCCCCACTGACCCACAAGGTCATGTCTTACTCTAGTGAGATTTTTCTACACGGTAGGCTCTTATAGCACGGTATGATTTACCAACACACATATATTTAACTCTGCCATTCTGTAGTAAGACTATTAATCCAAACAAACATATCTGTTGGTTTTAGAAGCAACAGTTGTTCTCAAGTATTGTTACATTTGTGAACGAAATTCTATTTAGAGCTGTTATATAAAAGGGATGCTTTTCCCATAAAATACTGTCAAAAGGAAGCAAGGCCCCAGTCTTGATTTGGATGTCTACAAATGAACCCCTTGCTAAGCAATCCTGTTGTTGGTCTATGTAGGAACTCATTTTAAAACATTTCTGCATATTTGGAAGCTTAAAGTTCGTATCTGAAATTCCTGCTACCTTTTGCAAAGAAAAAAAAAATCTTAGGGGGAAAAAGAAACATAGCAATTTGGATTTGAGAGTAACATCTTTTCTCCTATAAACTGATACTATATTTGTAACATCTTACCATATATTGTGATGATCTCCAAAATAAAGAAAATTACTTAAAATTTCACAAAGCTAGAACAGGTTTCTCATTAACACCACTTTGTTGCAAGCACAAGCATAACAGCAGTTAAGATTTTAAAAGTTAATTATGCAACATTGCCTCACAAAAATTCATAAACAGTCAAGACATACTTTCAACTGATGGTGTAGGTAAGGAGTTAATATGGGGAAAGAATGGGTACTTAAGCATCTCGGTAACCTACACTACAGGGCATTTAAATACAGTCAGTAGGGCAGAGGAGGCACCTCTGAGGGGTTGATTCAGATCATCTAAGACAGACGCACAAGATTTAGCCCAACTACACAGACATTCATAAGGAAAAGAACATCATAAAGTTTTATAAATGAGGTAGCAAACACACATTCCTAAATGTCACAGGTGACTTTCTGTGAGTCTGCTTTGTTGTTTCTTTTTGTCACACAGTAAAATATTTCAGTTTTCTGTAATGGACTTACCTCAATAAAAATCTGCCCAGTTAAGGTAAATACCATTCCAGACATGACTGACCTCTGAAATACTGCAGTAGCTCATAACTGCATTTAAAACTATTTTAAGAAGCTAGTGTTTTCTCAGGAAGAGGACAAATAATATAATGCATCTGTATGCCACTTAAATCCTACATTTCTCTTTTTTAGACATCCTCTTGTGAAAATATATTTGAATTAAGCAATAAATGCAGCAACTTGCCCGTTCTTGATAACAGTTTTCAAAATAAGCCATGTCTTCATCTTCTGAACGCTTTCCATGAGAAACTTGCCTCGTGGCACTAGAACCACCTGAAAAAAAACCCCAACAAAACCAAAAACTTTTTTCATTAATGATATTTGCTATTCCATTAGTCATGTTTTGCATTTGGCAAAAGACATTTAAAATGAGAATTCGCCATTAAAAGCAAGTAACAATCCTCAGCAAGTGGGACCAAAGAATAACCTCTTCAGTCTAGGCTAGCAGCTATTATAAACAATCTTGGAGGATTTCAGCAGTTACATTAATTGCTAAATTCTTATACTAAATAAGGGACATAAAATAAGCATAACCAATCCATAAATCCATGAAGAAAAGACTTTCTGGCAGAAGACAGTTTCACAGGATTGTGCTGAATATGTACAATTCGCTCAGATGTGAATCAAAAATTTTTAAAGATCCAATGAGTGACACTGTCAATGCGGAGGATACCAAATGATAGGAAAAGATCATTAAAGTTAAAAAGCACATCATGTCCAAAAATAACAATCAGTAACAAAACAGTTATTCTAAGCACATGAATGTTGTACTAACTTTTTACATAACAAGGTTTCAAGACCCACTTCAATTGTTACCGTTGATTTTAGCCTTAAGCATCTTTCAACTCATATATATAACCAATTAAATTTATGTTAACTACTTCTTGTAAAACAGTATTATCCTACTAATATAGCACCTGCTATCTGTGATGTGGTTTGAGCAGAACTAGAAGGTCCACAAAATGCTTTTAGAAAGGGATGGTCCATGCTGGTAACCGGGGATTCTAAAAGTTCAGAAGAGGGACCCCCTGTTAGAAAATAGTTGAATGAAAGCAAAAATTAACTTTATGAGATATATTAAGAACATGCGTAATGAGGTCAAAACAAAGCTACAGATTAGTATCTCCACACTCAGTGCAGACCCCATAAACTTGAGTTTACAAAAGCAAAAAAGGCTTCAAAAGAAATTAAAAGCTGTGTTTAATTACTACCACTATGCTACAGTTTCTAGATCTCAGACAAATCCAGGAAACCAGATAAGAATTTTTAAAAGAATCAGTGAGTACATGGCAATAATAAATAAAACAGTATTACAAGACAAAATGTGTCCATTACTAAATGACACAAAATCACAGAGTGGCAGAGGTATCAAGGCCAACTAACATGCTAATCAAAAATAAACTTCTACAAATTACCCCTTTTTTTAATGCTGAACTGCTATTTACCTTTGAGTTTGGAAAAAGAAATGCTGCAACTGTGTAACCAAGAAATGCCTGAGCAGCATTATGCTAAAGGATTAATGTAAGTTTAACATGGAAGTATTAACAGAAAAACAGAAGTTGCAGAGTTCTTTCTAAAAGATATATTCCACTTCAAGTGGAAGGTACTGGACTGAACACCAGAATTATTGATAAAGAGGGTCTTTATCAATTGACTATAGAAAGTTGTACAAGATGGTCATAGTGGTCTCTTCATACCTGAGGACTGCTGAAAAAAAAAAAAATCTGTTTTAAATCCTACTCCTATTGACCCAGTTTGCCTTTGAACTTTGAAAGTCTATGCTGAATTACTACTTTTCAAAACTACTTAGTTGGAGAAGTAAAATTTCATCTCAGGTCAGCTGCACTTACCGCATCCACTGTCATCGAGTCTCATGTAACCTTCTGCTAGTGAACTAAAACCAGTCAGTCCTCCCATAGCAGCATAAGGTACATCCTGCCCCACAGGCTTTCCTTGGGCTAAGCGCTCTTCTTTAGTTTCCACGACAGTTTCATGAGCATATGCTGGCTGACCACATGCACAGGTAAAGCAACTATGAAAACCCGAACACTTGGAACCTAATTAACAAATAAATAAGTGCAATGAGCAAGATTATAATGGAATTTATACTTAATTGCAGAGAAAACAATGTTTCCCTAAACGGATCTTGTCAAAAACTAGAGTTCCTTCACAGCAAAAGCATCCAGCTATATGAAAATGCTTTAGAAAACAAGACAAAGGATGAATGTGGGGATTAGATCATAGGGGTCATCCAGTCTCAGGGTGTCATTCAGTCAAATTTTGAGTCCCTCCAATGACAGAGATTGAACTCTCTGAGCAGCCTGGACCAACCTTGGTGTTCCCTTGGAGCAGATGCTTCTTTTCCTAATCTCTAATTGGATTTCCTGTGTTGCAGCTTGTGTCCATTGCCATTAGCAACACCCTTCTCTATCCCTCCCCAACAACAAAACAAAACAAAACAAAACAAAAATCTGTCACTGGATAAAGAAGACAATCTGACAGCATTTTGGCAGTATTATCTCCAAAGGTGTACAGCATGTGTCAGTGCTGCATGGCCAGAAATCTTCAAATTACAATTTATGATATCACAATGTAAATGTCTTTTACAATTAGCTAAGTTATCTAGTTAAAAGAGGTTCTCGTAACATCAAAATAGGTTCTACTAAGAGTACCATTAGATTGTTTTTCAGGGTTTTTTTAAGCTTACAAAGCCACAGACTATAACTGGAATAGTTATACAAATGGCATGTGTCATTCAGAAATACAGAGCAAAGTGTACCCTAGCTACAGCTAAGACTGTCATCAAAGCCCTGCCGGAGCAATGATGTGAACAAGAAACTGATGAACTGATTTTGTAAATGTTTCATTATACAAACTACCCAGCTTCCAACTCCTAGTTACAGTTCATTTTTCAGATCACCAAGAAAGAATTTTTAAGTCTTGTGTAGCATGTTCAAGGATCACATTCTTGGCAATGTTAAAGTCTTTTTCATATAATTTTGGGCACTCCTCAGTAATGGAGCTCTTACTCCATGTATGGATACAGAATAATGCATATACAATGCGCAATATGCAACAGCACTATTTTTCAATTATGAATTCGCCAGTTCCTCGAGAAACTGGCTGTTCACAGCTTGGATGGGCACACGCTTTTAAAGAACTGGCTGGATGGCCGGGCCCAAAGAGTTGTGGTGAACGGAGTTAAGTCCAGTTGGCAGCCGGTCACGAGTGGTGTCCCCCAGGGCTCTGTTTTGGGGCCACTCCTGTTTAACATCTTTATTGATGATCTAGACGAGGGGATCGAGTGCACCCTCAGTCAGTTTGCAGATGACACCCAGTTGGGTGGGAGTGTTGATCTGCTCGAGGGTAGGGAGGCTCTGCAGAGAGACCTGGACAGGCTGGAGCCATGGGCTGAGGCCAACTGGAGGAGTTTCCATAAGGCCAAATGCCGGGGGCTGCCCTTGGGCCACAACAACCCCCAGCAGCGCTACAGGCTTGGGCAGGAGTGGCTGGAGAGCTGACGATTGGAGGGACCTGGGGGCATTGATTGACAGCCAGCTGAACAGAAGCCAGCAGTGTGCCCAGGTGGCCAAGAAGGCCAATGGCATCCTGGCTTGTGTCAGCAATAGCGTGGCCAGCAGGGACAGGGAAGGGATCTGACCCCTGTACTCGGCACTGGTGAGGCCGCCCCTCGATTCCTGTGTTCAGTTTTGGGCCCCTCACTACAAAAAGGACATTGAATGACTCGAGCGTGTCCAGAGAAGGGCAACGGAGCTGGTGCAGGGTCTGGAGCACAGGTCGTACGGGGAGCGGCTGAGGGAACTGGGGGTGTTTAGTCTGGAGAAGAGGAGGCTGAGGGGAGACCTCATCGCCCTCTACAGCTCCCTGAAAGGAGGGTGCAGAGAGCTGGCGATGAGCCTCTTTAACCAAGTCATAAGCAACAGGACAAGAGGGAATGGCCTCAAGTTGCACCAGGGAAGGTTTAGACTGGATATTAGGAAGCATTCCTTTCCAGAAGGGGTTGTTAGGGGTTGGAATGGGCTGCCCAGGGAGGTGGTGGAGTCCCCATCCCTGGAGGTGTTTAAGAGTAAAGTTGAAATTGCTTAGGGATATGGTGTAGTTGGGAACTGTCAGTGCTAGGTTAACAGTTGGACTAGAAGATCTTCAAGGTTCTTTCCAACCTAGATGATTCTGTGATTCTGTGATTTATCACACTAGATTTATACAACACTGGGCTAGACTAATACCAGTACATTAAAACAACTCAAGTCCAAAATAGCAGCAAGTCTTGGCACTTCTCTGTGTAATCTGTAAAGCCCTCAGAAGTGTCAGGTATTTCCGAGAAATGCTAGAAAAAGTGCATAATGTAAATGATTATGAAAAAAACTGTGTTCTGAGGATTCAGTCTGAATCATACAGTTGCATATTTAAGACTTTCACATTACTTAGAGCAAATTCTTGAAAGGCTGTCATATAAATATTGTATGATTTATTCTGTGGGATATGATTCTCATCCAGCAAAAGCTGTTTATGATTCTTCCTGTACAAATCAGACAGACTTCATGAAAGACATTTACTAACAGTATGGAAACTCTAGCTAAAAAAATCTTCAGCTTACATAATTTGAGGTTTCCATCTAAAATATCTTTATGCATTATTTATTGTCTGTGGTTAATAATTACTGCTGTTTCATTACTATAACCTCGAACAACTGAAGCAAAAAGCTTCCTCTTAATGCTTTCTCAAACCTTCTGCTTGCAACTCCATTCTCATTTGCATTTCTGGACCCACAATCTGTATGCTCAGGAACTGCTTTGTTAAGAGTGCTAACAATAGTACTATTTTGGAACAGAGTGCTACTTCCTATTGAGTTGAGAAAAGATATAAAAATACATTAACATTATATTCAACCAGGCAATAGAGGAATGGAGATCAACACTTCTTTCTCTCAAACTACCAAGTTCAAGCAGGAGAGTCACATGCATGCAGCAGTGGAAGTGACAAACTGCAAATGGGGCACTCTCATGCCACCTGACTTGAGGCGGCTGTCTCCATATGTACCTAACCGAATCATTCAGAAACTTACGCTCCTTCACAGGACTGGGAGAAGCTAAGGATGTTGTTCAACACCCTCATGTGCAAAAGGGAACATCTTCCCTCCCATTTTCCATCCTTCTGCAAGGACCAAAGTACACATTGCTGACAACTGCAGCACGTACCTAATACTCTGGGCAGAATGCAGATCCCTAACATGCTGCTCCTGTTAAATTTCCTAGCAAAGAATGCTGCAAGCCCATCAGTAACTTACAGGAGTTACATGAAAATCCAGGCGCTGCACTGTGCTCATCAGCAAAGTGTTTGCATCTGCAACGAACTGGCTGTGTGCCATTTAGAGGGACGTAGTGATAAGATTGGCATGGACAATGGCTCACTCTACAAGGCACACAAATTGGACGGTCTCTGGGAATCACTTCATAGTCTGTTTTGTGTTGCTTATACCTAAAAGAGGCAAAACCAGTAACTTTTATAACTTTGTTAGTGATTTATCAGGAAACTAACTGAAAGGCTTGTAATTATCTTACAAGTTCTGTTTTGAAGTATCTTTAATCACATTAATTACTGTTGTTAATTTTCAATTAAATGCACAGTATCAGGAGCTTTTACATCCGCTTGTTACATAAATAACACAGATCCTTATGTTTCATTCTGACAGCACTGCCAGAATCAATCTGATCTACAGTAACTTGTGCCTTAAAGCTGAATTTATTGAAGACTACAGAATCATTTTGGTCTCAAAAAAAATGTATTGAGATTTAGATGTAAGAAGAGTTCTCATGATGTAAAACTTAATTTTCTCAACCCTTAGACCTTAAATTAACTTGCCTACAGTGTACTTTAACGTATCTAGAAACATTTTATATTTTCCTGATTTTGAAAAATACAACAGTGCAAAAAAAGTAAAGATACCTACCGGTGAGTACAAAAGCACAACGTCTCTGGTCCCACAAGCTTACAGTCCATGCCAGTTGGTGATCTCCAGCTCACATACAACCTGTTCCGTAACCGAATTGGTAACACTTTTCTTTTGTACTCCTCATATTCCTCCAGGGTAAAAAGTTTTCCTCCATCATCATCACCTACAATTCTGTAAGCATGTCACAAAAAAAACGCCGTAAGAAAATGAAAACAATAAAAGTAGCTTGCTCAAGATATTTTTTCAAATAATATATAACAACACTTTTGCTGTAAATGCAAAAAAAAAATCTTATTTTTCATAATAGTGTTCTATTACACATTCTAGTACACATTTACAAGAACCATAGCTGATCTTTAGAGAAATTTTATGAATGCTCTTTTAAAAAATGTGCTCTGATGGACTGAAAACCAGTAAGAGAGAAGGAAAAAATTAAGAAAGCAAACTACCAAGCTCCTTTTCACACAGCAGAAAAAGCAATGGACATCAGTGTAATCAGCCAGCTCTGCCTCAAACTTCTTGAATGACCTCTGGCAAGTCACTTCACCCATCTACACCTAACTGTACTGCAGACTTGCATCAGGTTATCTAATTTTAGTCTAGTCCAACTAGGATTATTCAACTGCAAGTAGGTAACCATGCTGCTATCAGAGTAACAAAACATCCAAGCTATCTTCTACTTTGCAAGAAGACTATGCTAGTTTCTGTACATGAAGTTAATAGCAGCAGTATCCTGCACCTCACACAGACCTATTTGTTTAAGCTATAACTGTTCAAACTCAAAGTCAGGTAACAGCTGGAACTCTGGAGCTGCATCCGAATTCTACATTTATGGTGACAATTGAAGACAGTAAGTAAAATCTGTAAAACACAATTTAGACTTAATTGCAGCACTTAACTATGCTGAAAGGTTAGTTTATTACTGTCTATAAATATTTGTTGGGTATGCTAAAACATATTGAGTGATCCTTTGTCAAATGTTCTGTGGATTTGTACATTGCCAGTACTGTACAGCACCAGAATAATGTGTCAACACATCACTGTCATTTGCCTGTCAATCCAGCTGACACCCACAAGAATCAGTGCACAACTACTTACTTACGTAAGAACTACCACTGTGCCTACTACCTCTGTTTTACTCGAAGTTTTCCTAAGCTAAATTCAGACCGCATTTCAGTACAATGACTGAGTTCGTGTTTATTTTTGCTCAAGACCAACTCTTCAAGAGGAGCGATGAGGAGATCTGCAAAGACACGTAGGAGTGTAAGGGCATGCGCTTATACACCCCAAAACTCAATTCCCGGCGCACGGAAGGCCGCGTTTCCTCAAGGAGTAGTACCGCTGGCAGCTCACCCTCTCACACCGCCTCAGACAGACAGACACGCTGCCAGGCAGGCGGACACGCAGGCCTGGAAGTGAGAAGCAACGCGTTGCCTCACCCGAGCCACCATTTACAACATGCCTTCGCGCCGGCGAGGCGCAGGGGGCCGGCGCCGCCGAGGCTGCCTCGGGCCAGAGGGGAGAGTGCCGCCGCACGGGGCCGGACCGAGCACCTCC